TGCTCTTCTAGTTTCACATAGAACTGAAAGATCAAACCAAAAAAAAAAAAAAAAAAAGATCAAACCAGAAGAAGAAGACACAAGTTAAGACAATACTTAAAAAAACTTTTTCTAAAATAATGTAAAATGAATAAGGTTGTAAGCATAGATCAACATTTACATACTTTATCTGCCACAGAACTGTTAGTAGTTACTATAGTTTGCTTTTTGGTCGGCCCATAAACTAAACTGCTGCGCTTGGAGGTGCTCTCTGAAGATGGGTTGCCTTTGGTTTGGTTCCACTTGCAACGACGAGTTTAGGAGTAGCCTTTGGTGCTGTTGCATCAATGCTCTTACTAGAACATTGGTGTTGTTGCATCAATGCTCTTTCTAGAAACATCTCCTCTAGTTGGAAAGGAAAAGCTCTGAGAAAGGAATCGCGGGGCTCCGAGAAAAGGTCCCTGGCTTTTTCTAACAGTTTTGTTATCTGTTTTACTACTCTTCAGCTCAGGGACATCTACTTCCCATGCAGAGAATGACAAAAGAAGATTGATGTTGAACACTGTTCAAAACACAGAGTCTTAGCTATTGCATGATTCAAGTTAAAGATTTTATTAGAATATACTTCTGTTTTGTAGTTTAAGTTTTCAAAAATAATAGACAATCAGAGTTTTGTTCCACAAAATATTACTATAAGAAGGCTGGAATTATTATCAGAATAAGAAAACTATTCTTATGGAAAAAGGTAACCACATTTACATTTTAAATTATGATGTACTAAAATCTGTTTAACTAGATGAAACTTAGCTCTGATATTAGTACATTTTAAGTTAGACTCTATTTTTTCATAATTTATTATTTTATTTCATGTTAGTCAATGATTCAATTGTTTAATGTTTGTATTTTAAAGCAGTATTATTTTACAAAAGTAAAACTGAATGTATGAAGTCTAATATTTTATGATCTACCATGTGGGATGAGCCATCCTCGCGATGCGCTTGTCGTTAGGTTCTTTAAGGGAGATCGGTTTTCGGTTTTGAAGCAATGCCATGAAACAAAGAAGATTGAGATTTGGGTGACCAAGAACAAGGTTAACGCTGAGGATGGTGATGATGTGGTTTGGGTGAGTTTCATGACTTTGTCAATACCTAACTTTCCGAGTTTAGTACAGGCTGAACCCTACTCTGATCAGCAACCAAGTTACTACATCGATGATAAAAGGCTTGTCGTGTCTTCTTGCGACGAAAATGGCCAGGCTTGTATTTATGTTTTGTGGGAAAATAAGTTGATCAGCAAAGTTCAGTTAGATTCTGTGGTTGGATCTTGGCCTTATTCCCAGCTTGGTCCCGGTTTCTCTAGAAAAAGATGAAGCCGAATTTCAAGTTTAATTTGATTACATGTTACCTGTTTCTTTTTTTTATTGCAACTAGAGATTTTGCTCATTTCCTTTTGGTTTAATTTTTTGGAGAAATAATTGTTTTAGATTTTCTTAGAGCAGCATAGTAACTTTAAGCGTTTGATAGACTCAGTAACATTTTATATACAACCATAATTAATATAAGTACATAATCTGGAATAAGAAGTGTCAAAAATTGCTTACGGTATCTTTTTTTTATAACACTTGAATAAGTATAATCTTTGTGGTACAAAGCAAAAAACCAAAAACAAGAAATTAAATAAGATGTCAATAGACACCTCACACAACTGGAGAAAGGAAGAAAATCTCACCAACTTCCATTTATTGTCGAGCTTCCAAAGAGAGTAAATGCTGAAGCCAAGCCGGTGTATCTCGGGCGATGTATGATTGGGGTCGACTATCTCGGGTGACACTAATAGCAATTGCCGATGCAGCTTCATTTCTTTCTAGAAGTACGTGATCGAGGCTCCAAAACTCTATCCTTGCAAAAAGAAAGGATATTTCGTGTCGGAGAGAAGCACTAAAAGTGGAGCAACAAGAATATTTTATTTCATTTTAGGCTTTTGACCTGAAAAAGCTTTGGTTTTGTTATTCTTTTTTTGATTTTTTTTTTAAAAGGGGTGCAACACGAGATTTTTGGTTTTGTTATTCATAACATAATTATCAGAAGGCAGTTTATTGATCAAATCTGCTCGATGTATGGAATTTCTTGTTAAAATAAAATTATTCAGCAAAGTTTATTTAACTTGGTTTACGAATAATTATTCCTCTCTTTTGAGTTCTTGGTAAATTACTCTTTGAGTTCTCCATATCTATACGGAAATCATAGCCACCATAGACATTATTAAAAGGAAAATGCTAAAATAATTCTTAGCTTTCAAATTTGAGCAAAAAAGGAGTATAAATATAACTCTTAATATGCCGTATGACAATAGGCTTCTAAATATATTTTTTGTCTGATTGTTTATGGTGCACCATAGACATAGTATAAATAACTTTGAATAATTTTAGATGCGAATATCTCTAACAATCATAAATAGTCCACTAACTTCTGTTGAAACCCTAACAGAAATGGATATAACCAAAACAAAACAAAAGAAGAAGGCTGCGCATGAGGAGCAGCTTCCATGGGAGTTGATTGAAGAGATACTCTCTCGTGTCCCTCTTAAATCTCTTGTCCGCTTGAGTGTTGTTTGCAAACGATGGAACATTATCTTGGATGACAAGAAGTTCATCAACAGCCACAAGGAGACGTTTCGATTCATCCTAACAACCAAATCCAAGATTTATTCGGTAAGCATTGATCCCAAGATAGTGGTGCGTGAGCTACCCGGTTTAATTTATATAAACCCTGAAACATTGATTGATTGCGATGAGTTCTTGATATGTAACGTGGGTACTGGAGCTGTTATTTGGAACCCGTGGTTAAAATAAAGTACATTAATTCCCCGTCGTTGGTGGAACTTCAAAGGCATATGTTATAATGGTAGTAATAGGAGAAGTGAGGTAAATCTTTACAAGTCCATTTGGGGCATTGATAACATGTTGAAGATCCATGACTTTGAAGAGTTCGGTACGTGGACACACGTCAACGTTAGATCCGGTGATAGTAATCAGAGACGTAAAAGAACTACACAATCAGAAATAGGTGTATCGTTGAACGGCTCTTTGTTTTGGATTTGTTATCTTGACAAGACAGATCCCTTGTATTGTTTAGGTAGATTCGATTTTTCCAAGGAAAGATTCTACACATTTTGTGAACTACCGTGTGGGATGAGCCATGTTCGTGATGCACTTGTCCTTAGGGTCTTTAAGGAAGATCGGTTCTCATTGTTGAAGCAATGTATTAACATCCCACATCGGGAGTTATAAGTGTCCTTGGGCAATATATATATGTATGGACAATCCTCCACTCTTGAGATAGCTTTTGGGTGTGAGTTAGGCTCATCACTAATATGGTATCAGAGCCAGGTTTGGCCCAGCATTATGATTTCCCACATAAACAGTTTCCTACCTATGTAGCCTGTAAAAGTGGCCCATATGCTGTGGTATTTCCGAGATGTTGGGTTTGGGCTGTTTCCCTATGGACCGTTTCCCACCCACATCTCGAGAGGGGCTATTAACATCTCACATCGGGAGTTATAAGTGGCCTTGGGCAATATATATATGTATGGGCAATCCTCCACTCTTGAGCTAGCTTTTGGGTGTGAGTTAGGCCGATCACTAATATATTAACATCCCACATCGGGAGTTATAAGTGTCCTTGGGCAATATATATATGTATGGGCAATCCTCCACTCTTGAGCTAGCTTTTGGGTGTGAGTTAGGCACATCACTAATATGGTATCAGAGCCAGGTTTGGCCCAGCATTATGATTTCCCACATAAACAGTTTCCTACCTATGTAGCCTGTAAAAGTGGCCCATATGCTGTGGTATTTCCGAGATGTTGGGTTTGGGCTGTTTCCCTATGGACCGTTTCCCACCCACATCTCGAGAGGGGCTATTAACATCCCACATCGGGAGTTATAAGTGTCTTTGGGCAATATATATATGTATGGGCAATCCTCCACTCTTGAGCTAGCTTTTGGGTGTGAGTTAGGCCCATCACTAATACAATGTTTCTTAACAAAGAAGATTGAGATTTGGGTGACCAAGAACAAGGTTGACGTTGAGGATGGTGGTGATGTGGTTTGGGTGGAGCTCATGACATTGTCAATTCCTAACTTTCCGAGTTTAGGACTGGCTGAACCCAACTCTCAGCAGCCAAGTTACTACATCGATGATAAGAGGCTTGTGGTATGTTGTTGCGATGAATCTGGCCAGCCTTGGATTTATGTTTTTGGGGAAGACAAGTTGATCAGCAAGGTTCAGTTAGATTCATTGGTTGGACTCTGGCCTTCTCATTGCACTTACTTTCCCAGCTTAGTCCCGGTTCCTCGAGTAAAAGATGAAGCAAAGTTACAAGTTTAATTTCATTACGTGTTTTCCTGTTTCTTTTGTTGCAACTAGAGATTTTACTCATTTTCCTTTGGTTTTTACTTTTACTTTTTTTGAGAAATAAATTATTTCAGATCTTCCTAGATGAAGCTAGTTCAAGCGTTTGATGTAAACCAGTTTTATTCCAGTATAGTTCTGACTTCGGTTCGGATGTATATTTGTCGGCTTTCACTTTGTACATGGTCTAGTAATATATTTCAAATTTAGTAATACGTTACTTGATGATTACACCCTCTTGATAAATATGCCACATTCAATAGCGTAAGTTTCTTAAGGTATATACAGGTAGACTAGAAAATAGAGCAACAAGAATGTGAATTTTGATTTTATTATATTTTAACTTGCAGTAGCTTTGATTTTGCTAGTTACAAGTCACAACGTGCACGCATATGTAAGATCTTTCTTCTAAAATAAACTATTCAGCTAGGTCGTCTGTCTCGGTATATACGAATAATCAAACTGTACTTTTAAATTCATATATCAACTTTCAGTAAAATTTTGTATAAAACCTGCCGAAAAGAAGTCGGATCATGTTTCACCAAACTACCAAATAGCAGCAGAGAGAGACACTATCAACATATAGATGTTTTGAGGTGACATCTTTAAAGTAAAGGCTACACTCAAGGCACAGGCAATATAGTCTAGAAGTATTGAAAGCATCAACATCACCTGAGTTTAAGTTGCGTCTCCTTATCTCTTCTACAACAACTTTTATATATATACAAACACAGCTTTTTATTTTTTTGCTCTAAACTTTTTTTAAAAAAATAGCATAAACAAATGAAAAAAAGAACCTACACAGTTATTGGTCTTTCCATCCATCAACTTTGTTTCTTCATATGGCCTCTTTGTGTTCCTCTTCTCCTTGTTCTGCCCTTCCTATTTCAATTTGTTGCAGCCCTTTTGTAACTTCCTACAGTCTAAATCTAAACAAATATTAGTTTGGAAGTATTGAAAACACTAGAGATCTTATCATAAGGGAGACAGTTATATAACATTTAACATTATAAAAAGAGGCTACAAGTTAAGAATGTGAAAAATGAGTGAATGCATCACATTTACTTACATATCATCATCATCAATTTTGATTACTCATTACACTTCTTCAGACAACTTCATTACACTTTTGTTGATGAATCTAAACGATCATTTGCTTCCTCGTCTTGTAATTCTTTAAGTTTTACAATCTCCGCTATGAAGTCCTCGTAGTCTACTGTATCTTCCAAATGCAAATCCGTCTAAAAAGTGATCACAAGAAGATTCATCCATGTGTAAGAAACATCTATCATGCAAACTCATATTTGTAAATCTATATAATGAGGACAATATTGTTTGCTTACTGGTGTTTGCATAAGACCACTGATGTCAGAGTTGTCAAGATTTGTGTCGAATCTTTCAAGAACGCTTTTGAGTTCTTTGTAAGTTACTCTCCCGCTCTTCTCACTGTCTATAGTCTTAAAGGTTTCTCTAAGACTGTGAATCTCTTGTTCGGAAAGACTTTCCACAGCCATCTGCAAGTGAAACAGAAATTAGACATTTTCTAATCAAAACCATCAAAAAAAAAAAAAAAATCAAAATCTTTTAATTAAACCTTTAAAGCCATCTTCTTGACCTTGTCTGTTTCTGAAAACTTCCTCAAGCGATTCAATACAGCTGCATCAAGAGGTGTATCTGGTGCATTTCCTTCATCTCTAATCCATGGATGGCCTAAAAAAAACAAGATTAAGTTTCATATCTACTTAAACTATGTATTTTCATGATTCTAATGACTTACTCAAAACTTGTTGAGCAGTAAGTCTTTTTTTAGGGTCTCTTTCAAGCATCTTTCTGATCAAATCTTTTGCGCTTTCAGAAACTTGTGGCCATGGATCTGATGACAAATCAAGCTCCCCCTCCAGAACCTCATTGAAGATTTCCTCTTCAGTTTCTGTTTAGATTAATAGCACACATAAGAACACCTCCAAGAAACATATAAAAGCTTGTGACCCAAGTAACAATCTTACCTCCCCAAAAAGGAGCTGAACCAGAGAGTAGCACATAGATCATCACACCAGCACTCCAAATGTCTGCTTCAGGACCATAATCCTTGTTCAGAATTTCAGGTGCAATGTAGTATGGACTCCCAACAACATCACTGAAGTTTTCTCCTTAAGACAACAACATACATCTCATCAAAACAGAGCAAAACAGAGGAAAACAGAGTAAAACAGAGCAAAGCTAAGGAACATACCAGGCTTGACGAACATAGACAACCCAAAATCAATAGCCTTAAGAGGAGAATCTTCCTGATCATCGACGAATAGAAAGTTCTCAGGTTTAAGATCTCTATGCATCACACCTAAAGAATGACAAGTCTGGACCACACCAAGTATGACCTTAGCCAGATGAGCAGCTTTTCTCTCAGAGTAATGCCCTCTCTCCACAATCCTATCAAACAGCTCACCTCCTCTGCACAGCTCCATCACCATGTGAACAGCCACTGCGTCTTCATAAGCTCCTTTGATGGAGATCACGTTAGGTTGACCTAACAAATGTTTCATTATCTCAATCTCTCTTCTCACGTCCTCCACGTCTTCTTCGTTCTCCAGCTTCCTCTTTGGTATCGACTTGCAAGCGTACTCCACTCCTGTTCCTTTCTCTATACACACAAACGTCGTCCCAAACTGCCCGTGACCTAACTTGCTCCCCAAGTTATAGAATTCTTTCAAATGCCCTGTCTTCGTTTTCAACACCGAATCTGCTTGCAACCCTGCGCTCAAAAGTCTCTTCACGTTGTGAGGCTTTCTCTTGCTGTTCCCAGACGCTATCCTTGCCGCTCGCTTCTTCCACTCTTCCTCTTCTTCACTCTTGCTTTGTTCTTGATGAGAACCACTCGTTTTCGCTTTCTCTTCAAGTAACTTAGGGTCTCCACTAGTCTCAACCCTGGGTTTATCATCTCCATCTTTGTGCATTAACATCTGTTGAGGAGGCTTGTCTGGGAGCTGCGGCTTCACTGGATGGTCCATGATGAGATCTGTGGGACGAACCCATGTGTTTGATTTCGTATCCACACAATTGCTGACTATATGAATACATACATTCCCCATCTTCTACAAAAACCTAAAGAAACGGCAAAAAGATAAAAAGAGGAGTCCCTTCCTTCCGTTTCACGCAAGAGAAAATAACCCTAACGTGATCCTATCCAGACATAGATCTATCATGTCTTAACACCATAAACACTTCCTTGAACAATCATACAGACACAATCTCCGAGAGATCTAACGCAGAGAGAGAGATAAAGAGATCTAGATTCTACAAATCATCTCACACAAATGCAAAAGGTTGAAGAAAAAAGAAAAAGAGAGCGTTGAGGATGAGACGGAAGAGGATTTGAGAAAATGGAATTGGGTCTCACGTCGTGACTGAATTTTTATTAGGGTTTTTGTCTTTTTTCCTCAATTAAAAATATTCTCTTTCCCAACAAACATCTAATGACATACGACTTGTGTTAACTGGTGCAGGCTTGCAGCATTCATCGGTTAACCAGTTTGGTCCTTTCGATTTATGTTATTATTAATTTTTTTAATTTTTTTGCTTTTTCTATATTACTTCATGCCACAAACTGGTAACAAATCTTTCAAAAAACGTAAGGTTAGGTTTCTAATCTTTAATTCTACTTCATAACCAATACTTTTGACTTTTTATTTTATTTTATTAACATTTAATGAAAAACTCCAAGAGAAATAAATAAGAATGTAGATACACTTTCAGACAAAAGTGATTGTAATAATGTTTTTCTTAGTTGGTACTTGGTATGATTTAAAAAGACATAAACCTAGTGATTATGCAGTATTAATATAAGAGAATTAAAGATAAGCACTAAGCAAAAACGTGGATGCCTCTAACATCAGAACGTTTCTAGTAAAGTCACATTACATAATTAAAGATTTTTTTTTGTATTATGTCAAGGAAAGAACAAGACGATGTAGGAGACGCTTTCTCAAACGTCCTTGGCCAAGCCTGAGAGATCAATTTCTCCTGAGGAGAATGGCTGTTTAGTGACGTTTTCGTCGTTGCTGCGATGCTCCTCTATCTTCGGATGCTCTTCAATGGGTATCCCTCTCTTGGTGGTCGAGTGATGATGGTCTCCCATGATATCAAACAAGCTGCTCCCTATCTCTTCTGCTGCTTCGATGAAACCTTTCATTCCGCTGAAGAAATGGCGTTCGATGTCTTCTAGATCGCTGCGGAGTCCTGGAAAGTTTAGGGGATTTTCCTCAAACTGATTTGGGAGAGTAGATCCACGCACCATCTGGTCTGTAACATCTTCTTCTGTGTGTTCTGTGGTGGACTGAACGACTTCAGAGGGCCTGAACCAAATACAGAACATAAGGAGAATTAATTTAGTGATCACAAACTCAGATAGTAAGACATAAGGAAAACAAGAGATCTAATGGTAGTAAGTCACAGAACAGAACAAAAAATTCACCAATTCACAGTGAGTATTCTGTTTTAAAAACCATTGTGCGCTCCAGTACGGATCAAACATTTTCAAACATCGTCATCATCATTGTAATCAAACACAAAGAACGTGACAAAATGTTCCGCCATGGAAACCAAGACGTCAAACAAAATCAGAGGCTTCTCATGAGAAGTAGTAGCTCAGGCATTAAAGCAAGCTAACAACAACAAAGATTGACGACGAAGACGACAACAACAAAACTGGAAGTGGAAGTAAGAATGTAAATCTTCTGAAGAAGACACTATCTTTCACAGAAAGTAACAACTGTTCCTAAAAGATAAATTAGCAATCTCGGTGGGGAAAGAGATTCAGGAGAAGCAGAGATACAAGATACCAACAGACAACCTTAGCCACAAAGAAACTACAAAAGGCGTCGCCTTGTTGAGCTTATGGAGCATCAAACTTAATCAAAAGAGCACCAAGGCGAGCCCCTTTATGGATGTAGCCTCGCGCCATTAGAGATACAAGGCGTTTTGCTCACAATGGCGCCAAAAAAGGCGCCACTTTTAAAACAAAAAACACCATTGTATGGGCCATATCACAAGCACAAAAGTAAAGACAAACAAGAAGCTAGTAGCTCAGAAACACCCATTAACTCTAACTAATAAGCTCTCCTAATCAAATTTAAATCTATTTGATATTTAGATAATACACAAATCCTAATCACTCAGTCCAATGATGAGATTCCGACACAGAGAAGAAGAAGAGATCAGAAAAAATCACTCACTTTCCGAAACAGTGGCGGAGAATCTCCTCGGTTTTATCGCACTTCCTGACGAACTTTCCAGGCTCCACCTCCTCCGTCTTGCACTTCGATCTTACCACCGTGGAGGTGGAGCAATTCACTTCGGCGGCGGAATCTCCGAGTGTTTGATGATTGGTGACATCGTTCCTACCGGCGTTGGAAGCATCTTCGTCGTCTCTCCAAACCCAACCCATACCTAAATTATCGATTCGATCTTTGTTTCTGGATTCTTCCTCATTACAGCCTCCGGCGTGTGCTTTGTTTTTTATAATCACGACCGTGTGTTCGACAAACCGACTTACCCAACCAGACACGTAGAGGTTTTACACGATTTAAACTCGGAATGTTTGGGCTTAAAACCCATATCTAATTCTTATCAATTACGGCCCAAAATATACGACATGTGAATAAAATTTGTGGGCTCTTTCTTGAAGTATTTTGTACTATTAAACAGAGTTAGACATAAAACTATATGCTAATGTAAAATTTGTATAAACTTCCCATGTAAGACATGAATTAATTTATCGATATAATTTAGAAATGCGATATTAAAATTTTAAAGGAAATGTGTATTTAAAAGCTGAAAATGTTTTAAATAAAGGGGAAGAATTAAGGTTATGGTGGATTTGAGAGCTAGGGGGGGGGGTTAGTTTCGAAGATTTTTGCTCAAAATGAACTTAACACAAGATTAAGATAAGATATGAAAAGTAGCTGAGTTTTACTTAAGGTTAATTTAAGTCAGTAAACGCCTTTGGCCGAGTTACTCTACTTACCTATAAAACAAACAAGCAACAAAACATACAAAGATGAAGATAAGATATGAAATAAAGTAGCTGAGTTTTACTTAAGGTTGATTTAAGTCAGTAAACGCCTTTGGCCGAGTTACTCTACTTACCTATAAAACAAACAAGCAACAAAACATACAAAGATGAACAAAAGAATAAGGAAACAAGAGTTTAGCTGCACAGATGACTGAAATTAGCAACAAACAAACAAGAATCTAGCTGCTCCATATGAAGAAACAGCCTTGTGATAAGTTTTAATTAAAATACTCATATAGAAAAATAGGGTTCTTAATAAAAAGATTATCTAGTTTCATTTTAATAAATGGGGAATAGACTAAACAGGTTTCGTTCATTGGTGAGAAAAAAAAAAAAAAAAACGATTCCATTCATCCAACATCTGTTTCATCTGTTTATTTATGTTGTTGTCAAAAAAAAATAAGAACAATTCGATAGAGGTACGAGAGAAAAGGAACACATTAAATCCTATTTGTTACAAATGGAAAAAATATTATATTAAGAATTATATATCCAATTAACTGGGAAACTACATGTAAATAATTTCGAATGCTAAGGTATAAGAAATGTGAATATATATTTTTCTTACAAAGTTTATCGTTAATAAACGCACAATTGAAAAATAAAGAGTTTGTCTAAAATAAATTGGGTGTGATAATATTATTTCCAGGATGCTTGAAATATAATAAAAGGGAAGATCAGTAACCTGCTTAATTTCAGCAAGTTTGGATCAATACAAAAGTCGTCGTGTGCGAGCGTTTCATTTATTTCTTGAGTCAACGTTTTATACCTGTTTTCTTCCTCTTACAGGTTTTCTCGTATGACATATAGGCTGGTATTCACCAAATAAGACAAATGCACCGCTGAAATATCTACTTTTTGTTTAGTCTTGTGTACGTAATCCGTTTTAAACGCCTAGCGGCTTCAATGTCATTATAAGTTTCCAACTTGTTATCGTTTAGAATTAGTTCAAAAAAAAAAAAAAAAAACTTGTTATCGTTTATTTTTCTTGTTTTTATTGACGTCTCATATATTTTATTTGAATGATCTGTCAGAGACCAAAAGTTCAATACAAGCGAAGAATGAATAAACATATTTCAAGTCCCTCTCCACGATTTTCAACATGACTTTAATTATTCCCTTGTACGTATATAGAATTCAACTTGACAAAACTCAAAGTATTCTATCGAACAAAAAATGTAAAACTTACCTTCATTTAGAGATATTTGGATTCAAAGAATATATACAATGATCAATTAGTGACCAAAAAATGAAAGTATACAAGTAACTAAACAAGAGTTCAAAAAGAAAAATTTCCCCAAAGATTAGGCTTGACTTCGTTTCAGGATTATCCAGCTATAAAAGCAAATAATTAGGACATCCTAGTGGTAGCAACGGTGGAGGCTAAGGGGACAACCTCGGCAAGAGGAGTGGGGAGAGGAGTAGGAAGCGGCGAAGTCCTGCAGACAGGACATGTAGGGTTGAGTCTAAGCCACGTGTCTATACATTTAAGGTGGAAGAGATGGTTACAATCCGGGAGTTGACGCAGCAGATGATTCCCCTTGTAGTCTCCTAAGCATATTGAACAACACGACGACGTTGAGCTTCCTTTCGCTTCAGAGTAGAGGAGCTTCGGGTAGCTTTGAATGGTGTCCTCGTCTAGACCTTGGACGACGTCGATGATGACATGGTGGTGGAGATGGTGGTGAACGCGTGTTGAGTCTTGACTATTTTGAGAAGGTGAAGAAGAGAGCTGTCTACGTGTGCAGAAGTAGGAGGTGAGGGTGATTGTGGTGATGAGGAGGAGCACTCCTATGGAGACTCCAATACCGTATCTGAATCCACCGATGTCGTCCGTACCTAGGAGGTGGTTGTAGCCTGGCATCGGGGGAGGTGGTTGGAAGGCGTTCATGGCGGTTGCGGGTTGATGGGGTTTTGGAGGAGGGAGAAGAGAGATATTAGAAATGTTTGGTTAGCTATTTGATTTTTTAAGACATGTAAACTGAAGCATCTTGAGATTATCAAAAGTCAACGGTATTAGAAAGAAAGAGGAGATGCATGTGAATGAAGATAAGAAAGCTTGACAAAGCAAGCATGGTGTGACTTTTGGATTTAGTAATTCTGAAATTTCTAATATAAATTAATATTGTAACTGTAAGTTGTATAAGCATGTACACATTAATTCGTTATTCCACGTCATGATAAGATTTTGACCCAAACGAGATCAAGATTGTTGATTTTGTTCGTATTATAAGATGTGGTAAAAAAACAATTAGTTCGGAAAGAACATAGATGGATTTTAAATCTTTAATCAAATGACTATCAAAGTTAAGTGAAAAAGAGGTAACAGATTATTAATGAGATCGTTTTTGCTAATTCATTTTTTCTTCTAATTAGTTATCATATAGAGTATTACGCGAACAATATGTTTCTACTATTACGGTTTTAATCGAGTCCAAACGGAATTGTGATATTTTAATGTTGCAAAAAGTAGTAAAGAGATTTAAATTATTTGACGTCATCAGGTCGTAAATTTTTTTTTTTTTTTTTTAAGTCAGTGTCTTCGTTGATACGCGTATTAATCTTGTTGTTAAGCTACGTTTAATTATCCTTTGGGGATGATTGGTTGGACTTTAACTAGTGACTTTAGCTTTATTTTCTATCTACAACCATATAAATCACCAATCATGCTTTAACTAGTTTTTAAAGCTAAAGTCAAAAATTTAAAAAAATGGTTGTAGGAGCCTCATTTTCTAAAGCAAAAAAATACTGCTGTAGGATTGCTTTAGGAATATCTTTTTTTTTCATTTTTTCTCATTTAATTTCTACAGCTACATTAGATACAGCTACATCCAAAATTTCTACAGACTAATTTCTACAGTAAAATTTCTACAGTTACAGTCCAACCAATCGCCCCCTTTATCTGTGATTTTTTTTAATCTATTCACTGATTTTGTGACCTACGTAACGGTTGTTTCCTTCTGTACTTCTTCGAGTTGCAGTATTATTTTACTATTAGTATCTTTTTTTGTAAGCTGGCGTGGGTTTGGCGGTTACATGATTAGCTCTTGCAATGTTAAAGTTAGAGAGAGATTTTAGAGAAATTTGGTTGGAGGCTTGTGGATTACTATATCTCCCGATCCAAAACTCTGAAATCTCTCCACAAACTGGAAACATTAAAATTATTTGTCCTCTATAAAATCTCTAAAAGAGCCATTAATGTAATAAACTTTTGTCTTTGCTAGTCATAAGTTATACAATATAATTCAACAATTTAAGTTATGGACATTAACGTTTTTGTATTATTAAAACCAGATGTTGACAACAAGAATTAAGAAATCATTAAGCACATCAGCTAAAAGTTGAATTTAGCCAATGTTAATCGTCTTCTCTCTTTTTTTTCCACTTCACGGCCAAATAGTTATTACAAGTTTACACCAGTCACCCACCCGATACGGTGCACAGTTGTTATCATAAACTTAATGCGTCGTTGCATGCCTGCATGATGTTTATTTTTAATATACGGAATAGAGCGCTTACAATGATTAAAACATCATAACAGAACATATAGAAAGATATATTTGAAATTGAATATACATATAGGAATACAGAGAAAACGTATGTATAAACGAGCGTGCCATACTGTATAAGAATCTTGTAAGCAAGTTGCCTACCAACTGACCACCACGAATATATATTTAAGCATACCATCTACCAAAATGATTGAAACATGATAACAAAAATGATTGAGAAAGAAAACATGACAACAAAATTTTCAACGTCCATCTTTCCAAAAAAAAAAAAAATTTCAACGACCTTGGGCTTAGAGATTAGTTTCCCGTTATAAAAAGAGCAAGCCTTTCTGTTTACGAAATTTTTTTCTCATTGGGCTTTCATGGGTTATGGGTTTTAGCCACATCGCTTCCTCAGCCCATAACGAAGATAGAATTCACAGTTTTGATGATTCATTCACTTTAAATGCCAGCTAACTAGTACAACACTTTGCTATATATCGCATGAAAAGGTACCAAAACGGGTTACTGGCACGGTGGCACCCTTCACTCCTTGTCTCCTTCAGAGTTGAGCATTAGACATAAAAACTCATAAATTAGATTACTAGAATAAATATTTGCAAGCCCAGGCCCCTGGAGATTCGAGGAGCAAGCAACCAGTTTATACAAGACTTAACGTTACAAGCCTCACTAAAATACTAAATGAACGGTTATATTAACTAAGATTAGGTTTATATATACTGTATTGGCTGATAATCTGACCGTGATAGTCCTACGATTACCATGATACCATCGTTCCAGTTTCTAGCCATATATGTCCAACTATGTCTGTCATTGTCACAACCCACAAAGCTTAGCTTGTTGACAATATATGGCCGTAAATCTGTATGGACACAGAGTGACAGAAACGCTTTAAATTTTATCTGCAAGTTATTGGTTGGCTAAGAAATTATGTAGGTTTGGCAATTTGTCAAAATCATAAGTTGAATAATAAAATTATATAAAGTGTGAGCGGGTCAAAGGTTAAAACCATAGTCGTAGAGTGGGTGCTTTACGTGTCTTTGTTACGTCCTTTTATATTTATCAATTTAAAATCACGTGGATTCGTTTAGTTTTAGTTTAAACCATACGTTGCAGTGAAAATCACCTCATACGATACGACCAGCGAATAGAATCAAGTCTGTATTTGCGGCGTCAAAGTTGTTTGGTCGTTCACGTCCGGTCCACAGATTTATGATATATGTATGCGTAGATTATTGCATGCACAAACAAAATATACAAGAGACCGTGCGTTTTTTAATGCACCTAAACTATTGGACTGTATAAATGGATCAAAACATCAAGGAATGAAATTCATAAAAATTGATATAAATAATTAAATACGTGGATTATCCTCCTCTACCAAACTGTATACATACAAAAAGTATTGTTAACGGGAGTTACGTTAAGTTTTGTTGTCGCAATTACTATTCCAAGTGGCAAGTCCCATGGAAAGGGAAGAACGACAGACTACTCCATGCTTACCTATACTATACATTGAAAAGCATATATAGAGTGAACTTTATTTTTTGTTGAAAAAATGTTAAATTTATTCAAGCAAAAAAAAAATGTTCTTTTTACAAACTAATGCAACTTTGATCGTTAGAACAAAAAAAAATGCAACTTTGATCGTTAGAACAAAAAAAAATGCAACTTTGATCTAAAGTATTTTCATAAAATTGCTATTTTGCCGTTGTGAGGAATCTAAATAAACAAAGCTCTCCTCTATTCTCGAGAATCAAACCACTTCGCCATCACATTGATCAGATGTCTCTCCTTTCCCTTGTATTGAATGAACTTTATATGGCGCATTTAAATTCAAAGACATTAGGGTAAGGTTCGAAACCCTACATTATCTAGCGTTGAATTTATTATGGGAACATCAACACTTTAGTAAACAATATCATTCGTCTAAGATTTTGTTATGAAATCGCAAGCGAAATGAATTCATAAACCCTTACAAAATAGAGAAGGCAATGAGGTCAAGGTGAATACCATTTTATTATATATACCTCAAAATCTGATACAATTAAGAATAGGAAATAACAAAACATTATAATCCTCCGGTTCATGACATTTCTCATGTTAGGCTTGAGAAAGACTTCACTACGGTACATAATCAAATCGTTCCATACAACTTTACTCGCTCTTTCGATTTAGAAAATAACACGTCAAAGTAAATTCCAACCAGAAAAACTACCAGCCTATTAGAAAGAACAACAATAACAACAAAAAGACCATAAGATAAGAAGGCATTTGAGATGGTTGAGAGAAACAGCACAAACACAACTGGTTTATTTATCAAGTTGATGACTTTTGTTTGTATTATTTATGAATCTCTTATGTGTTCTGTCTGTTCACAGCTACAAGATGTGGTCCAGTCTGGATCTACTTTTATAATTATAAAATTAAAGCATCTAGATTTTGTGAGCTGCTCGCAATATATGACTGCTTCTATGTTTTGTTAAATAAAAAGTTATCACACTAGCGAAACCAACGGGAATATTTTCACTTGTTTCCAACTATTTTTATGTGAGATGGTTCAGATAGGTGGGTGGTATGGTTCAACACTAGCCTGCTCTTTATTCTTATTATATTCGGTGTCAATTTCTTTATTTCTATTTTTCTTTCGGTGGCTATTAGTGTAGTATTCTATATTTTCACATCCATATATTCGTCCTCACTCTCGACTGCGTCCTGAAGTAATTACAAGTCTAATTTAGTTGGTCAATGATAAATCTAGTAATTTTTCTAACAACGAAGAGGCTTTTCGTAATTATATTAAATTCGATGCAAGAGTATAACCTTCTTGTGAAGGCAATAAAATAAATTTAAGAATTAAATTCAACCAGATGCGATCTGATTATTTTTTTTAATTCTTGTTTTATTATTTTGGTAACCTGGTAAGCTATTTTTCGTGCTATATTAATTCGTGTTACCAACACAGATTTTTCAATTAGAAGTGAGGTAACATATGTTTGGTTAGTTAATCAAATTAACATTGTAACAATGTGATATCAAGTTGAATGTTATAACACTGACATATGCTTCTTACTTAGTCAAGAAAATTATTCTAGTCGAAAATTAAAATGCTGGAAAATAATAAATAAAAAAAAATACGAAAACCAAGAGAGAATAGCCATGAAACATGTGATTTCATTCATATCTTTGCAGTTTTTTTTTGTAAGAAAAATAATTTGATGAACAATTCCCCCTATTATCTACAGCTTGAACATCAAATGTATAGAAAAAGTAATCTAAGAAGTTCTGAATAATTATAGGAATAATAACCAGTAGTATTTTCAACAAATTTCTCATATAAGCGTTTGCACTCATTGAGAATCAGACTCGTTTCCATGACTGTACGTTTGTGTTCTTGGTTTTCATCACGAGGGATATGCAATAATCATGTTTCTTGGAATACAAGGCGAGTCCTTCCAAACTCTAGCGTGCAACTTAAGCAA